CGGGAGCAACACCGAGGCTTGCAATCCCGTTGCCGGTCCCCGGTCCGGTACGGGGGCAACACTGAGGGTTGCGATCCGTTGCTGGACACGGAAAAAAGACAAAAGACAAAAAAAAAAAAAAAAAAGAAAAAAAAAAAAAAAAAAAAAAGCATCAGCTCTTCAAGGGGGAAAACAACCCCAAAACAGCCAAGGATCTTAAAATACCCTATGGTTTAGAAAGACTGATGTTGGGGACCCACTTTTCAGAACAATGCATACATCTTGGAGGCGACCCCAGCTGATGCTACAGAAATCCCTGCTGCTTGGCCTAACACTCAGGCCCAACAAAATCAACTGTTTGAAGCATGTGTCCTACCTGTTTAAAGTACTGGAGGGAAGGATAAAACTGAGGTAGGGATAAAAACTGACAATTTATCAGCCATTTCACACAGCTGCAAATCTTTGGTTCCAATATTCAAAGGCAGAAGCATGAGGGTCAGTGACAGCCCCATGAATAAACTTCACTGGTTTAAAAGACAAGCAGCAGAGTGAGGATGAGTGAAGTGTAGGAAATTAATAAAAAATGTTACACAACAGTGTGAATATATTTAACACCAATGAACTGTACATTTAAAAATGGTTAAGACAACAAATTTTACGTTTTTTCCCACAATTATTATTATTTTTTTTTTCCTTTTTGTCTTTTTTCGTGACCGGCAACGGATCACAACCCTCAGTGTTGCGCCCGTACCGGACCGGGACCGGCAACGGGATCGCAACCCTCGGTGTTGCTCCCGCACCTTGCTCAGCCAGTGAGCGGCCAGTCTGTATGTGGGATCCGAACCCTCGGCGGGAGTGCCGCCGCACTCTCAAGCGGCGCACTGTAGCGGTGCGCCACCAGGCCGGCCCCTCCCACAATTATTTTTAAAAGTTCCACAATTCAAATCACTTTCAGGTGTTCAGTCTAGAATCGTTACCTAAGTTTCTGCTAATCATATCCTTGAATTTGATGGCAAGACTTTATGCAGCATTGCCTCTTGTTTCTCACCTGCTTCAGATCTCCTTGCATTCTATAACATAGGAAGACAGTAGTCTGTGTAAAAATGTAACAAATCTAGAAATAAAGTGCCACAGGGAAGCTAGATAATTTGGACAGGTCTTTGGTTTTAAGCCTATGAAGAAGCCAAAAATAAAAACAATGACAGTTAAAGCTCAGAAAATGTAAATTAGATAACATTCCTCTAGATTTTATGTTAAATACTTTAATTATTGATTTTCCCCCACAACTCTTTTTCTAAAAATAAATACTCTCTGTAACTGACCTTGTAAAAATCACCAAGTTCATTCATTTTCTGTTCTTAAGTATCTGCCTATTTGTCAAGCTGGTGAGAATTTTAAAAATGCTAGTTTCCTTAAAGTTTAATAATAACCTATAGCTCCTCTTTAAGTAAACATTAAAATTTTCAGAATCTGAATTCTCCCCAAATTAAATACACATAATGTTATTCCAATAAAAAAGCCAACGAAATTTTCTGAACTAGGCAAGCTGATTCTTTTTTTTTTTTAAAGATGACCGGTAAGGGGATCTCAACCCTTGGCTTAGTGTTGTCAGCACCACGCTCAGCCAGTGAGCGAACCAGCCATCCCTATATAGGATCCGAACCCGTGGCCTTGGTGTTATCAGCACCGCACTCTACCGAGTGAGCCACTGGCCGGCCCTAGGCAAGCTGATTCTAAAGTTCATACGGAAAAACACTAAAAGGTAAAACTAGTCAGGAAAATTTAAAGTAAACTAAATACTAAGGCTTGTTACAAATCTACAGTAATTAAAGCAGTGTGGAAGGGTGCTTACATAGATTAATGGGATAGAAAAGAGTCAAGAAATAGACCCAAATACATTCGGGAATTATTTCATTCAATTATAATTTCTGAAAGCTTTTTACCAGGCATTGGGCATGTAGGAGTGAACAAACACAGGGAGCTAGCAGTATCATATAATGTAAAGGTGGCATTTCAAATTAGCAGTGGAAAAGACTGAAAAAAATCAACGTGTCTAATTGGCTAGCTAAACGGGGGAGGGTGCACAAAAGGAGAGTGGCCTAGACCCACACTTAGATGGAGCTAAGAACTTTAAAAAAAAATTTTATTTCTATATTTATTTGATGGAAATTTAAGGCGGAAGGAAGTAAATAGTTAATGACTATTAAATAGTTAATGAAGTCACAAAAGAACTAAAAGAAAGCTTCGAAGAATTCATTTTTTGGTAACACTGGAGCAGGGAAGTCTTTTCTAGAGAAAAACAAACCACAGGGACCATAAAACAAAAAATAGGTCATTTTGATTATATTAAAAATTTTCCATGCACAAATAACATAAATATCAAAATGCACATGGCTAATTAGGGGAAACAATTTGTAATATATGATCCCAGATGCTAATATTCTTAACATATGTCTATCTAGCTCTTAAAAATGGATAAGAAAATAGACCTGAGTGGAAAACTAAGCCAAAAAACATGAAGAGTTCACAGAAAAAGAAAAATCCCTGGCTTACAAAGGTGGTCTACATAATTTATAACTAAAGAAATAAAAATTAAAATGAGGTATGTTCCATTATCTACTGGCAAAGGTGAAAAAGTCTGACATATACAATGTCGGTGAATAAACAGGAAAACAAGCACTCTCTTTACACTACTGATGGGCCCAGAGACAGAAGCAAGCTTTTTGGAGGGAAGTCTGCAATAACAAATTATAAATGAGTAGACCCTTTGCTGATATGGAAAACTAGCCAAGATAAATAAGTTAATAATAATTTATAACTATCTATAAACTATATTTTAAACTAGTGGTATCCAATTTTGTATGCAAAATAATTTTTTGCATGCGCCCCAAATGTACTTATACATATGCTACTAAACTGAAATTTACATTATGACACGTCCCCCTCAAAAGAAATTTTAAAAATCTGACCTGAATTTATTGGCAGCAAATTTGGCCTAAACTAACATTAAGTTATTAATAGTCTTTATTTATCCTGTTCAGTGTGAAACTTGAATATTCATACATTTCATGGTTGTGTTTGATTTTCGATGCTGACCCAGACACTGAGGCAGGTGCTAGGTAAAGTGTGGACTGTGCACATGTAAACATAACCAGGAACACTTCTGAATTCTGAAACTCAGACCGCAAGAGATTTCAATTAATGATTGTGAACCTACCAAATTTTTCCCTGAAGACTGGCAAATTACAGGTGATAATAAGTAGTTACTGAATGACTAAACTTTGATTCATCCTTACAACCATTGATTATTTGCCTGTGGGGCCTATGAAAGTGTTGAGGTCATTTGCCCTGTGCACCACAGGCCACAGACAGCTATTTGGATATTTCTGCCTGCATTTTATAGTTTTTGTTTGTTTTGTTTAGACTTCTATCTTGTTATAAAGTCCACCGGCTGAAAATTCTTGGGATTATTGGTATCCCTACCTAAAAGCAGTTGCTTTTCCCCTTTTGTTTTTCTGCAGCCTCAGCAGATAACTGTGCTTGTATAAAGTGAATCAACTGGGGCCTGCCCGGTGGCGCACTGCTACAGTGCACCACTTGAGAGCCTGGCGGCGCTCCCGGCTGAGGGTTCGGATCCCACATACAGACCGGTTCCCGCTCACTGGCTGAGCGAGGTGCGGGTGCAGCACCGAGGGTTGCGATCCCATTGCCGGTCCCGGTCCGGTACGGGCACGACACTGAGGGTTGCGATCCGTTGCCGGACACGAAAAAAGACAAAAAGGAAAAAACAAACAAACAAAAAAATAAAGTGAATCAACTGGCTCTGAATGAAGTGTTAGGGGCTTTGCATTGAGTGGGGGTGTACACTTTTGACACTTACTCGAAGCTTAATGGGCCTATTTCTTGGCTCTCTCAATGTTTGGGAACAGAGAAGTTGCCAGATCACCAGAGAGTTATGTTATTATTTTATTATAAGCATGAATAAGGGAAATATTTACATTTTTACTATTTTATGTTAAAAATAACTTTTGAAGAGAGTTACTTTGAGAAAAGTAATCTCCCTGAGGGCAGGTTTTTTTTGTCTGTTTTGTCTATGCCTGTTCATATTCCCAACGCCTAAAACAATAAATAGTTAATGAATGACGGAAGAAGCTCTTTGGGTTAGAGGGATAATATTCTGCCAAAAGATCCAGAAGATGCTATTTCTTGAGGAAATCCTGGATGTGTAGATAAGACAGGTGGTATGAAATGCAGGAATTAAAGGCAGAAGGAAGGAAGGTGGTAATTTTTAATATTCAGAAACAGTTCGGTGGATCAGCTCCTCAAAGACGGGGGGAAAAATGCCAGTATCAGCAACTTAAAATGTGCTTTAACTTCCAGTAAAAAAGGAAAATAGTATTTTAAATCAAATGCCATTTAAAAAGATCTAGCTAGACTCAACAAACTCCCTCTTCATTATAGCTAAGATGAAATGTATCATAGTCTCAGCTAAATGCTTTAGAGGAAGGTACAGAAAGTTCCTCCACACCGGAAAACACAGTGAGGCTGCCTGGGGACTAAAGTGGGGGGATTCGCGGTGTACAGTTTTGAATACACAGGTGAGACTTGAGAATTCTGATTGAGGGCATAAGAAAGCCTTGTGCGAGCCCAAAAAGCGTTCCCAGAACAAAGCAGCAATGGGTGCCTATGAATATGCTGTTGTATCATCCTCCAGAGCTTGGGGGGGGGGGCGGTAGGGGAGGGCGAGTTTGGAAGGAGGCAGGGATGTTATGGAATGTCAGCAGGAATTAGCAGCAGTGCCAGGTAAGAGGGAGGGGCCAACTTGGGGAAAAAACTACAAGAGAATTCGGCCCAGGTGGGGGTTCTAGAGACCAGATGCGTGTGCAAAGACAAAAAGTGAGCGTGGGTGGAATCGGAAGGATGAAAAGACTGCAGAATCCTAAAGGGTCGGCCCAATTTGGAAGCATCTCTAGCCCAGGGCCAGGGCACGCCAGCCCGGGCCGGACGAGCCACGTTCCTACCGGTCTGCAGGCGTTCGGCCGCAGGTCCTGGAAGTCGGCGCCGTAAATGGCCTCCAAGGCCTGCAGTTCGTGGTCCTGTCGCTGAGGGTAGCTCTCCGGCGGCTCATTTCGGCCGCGTCCGGAGCCCCCACGGCCCCCAACCATGGCAGCGCGGCGGCCTTGTCGGGGCGGCGGTGGGTCCCGGGAAGGCTCCGGGGCGGGGCTCCGCGCGGGGGTCGGGCCTGGAGGGCGGGGTTCCGGGCCGGGGGCGGGGCTCGGCGCCGGAATCCAGTTTTAGAGGCTGCAGGAACCGAAACCGACAAGGAAGGCAGTGAGAAGGCTTTGGCCACCTTCTGCGGTGAGAACGGGAGCAAAGGAACTGCACAAACGTGGGAGATCAAACCACGCAGATTAGAATGATAAGCCAAATTTTATAGTTTTCACGAAACAAATCTCTTTGACAGAAGTGCATGCTGGAACACCTCCACCCTGCCATGACTAGTGAGAGGAAACTCAAAAGGCTGATTTTGATGGGTTCTCAAGTCACTTAATCGTTTCTCCATGAACCTTCCCAGAACAAGACTAGTAGGAGTAAAAATTGTGACTACTACTTCCCTTCCCCCTAGTTCAATACTCCCAAACTCATCCCCTTAACCATGTATACATTTCTCATTTTTAGGGATCTCCAGTATCACCTTGCAATTGCAACCAAGAAATGTCTTTTCACTCAGGCATCTCTATGAGATACATTCCTGTGAAGAGAATTATGTTCCCTGCCCAGTTCACTTAATGTGAATTTAGGGGTCTTTCCATTATATCGTGCCTCCAATCATATTTTCTCAAATTTATAAAATAACCTATCTACCCAGACATTGCACTTCATCTTCCCTTGCCTACTAATGCTGCATATCCATTTGGAATAATCATATCATATTGCCCCAAGTTAGGTTTAAGTGACCTGTTTCCTCTATCCACCTTGCTTACTCCTACACTGTTTACTAAATAATCATTATTTACGTATCTTGCTGTTGTCTACCCACTCAGTCTGGCCATATAACATAAATGCACTAGTTTGACCCAAGGACAATTTAAACCATCTTCTCCTTCCCTCAACTGGGAACTTGTTCCTTTTCCAGTGATCTCTTTTTTTTTTTTTTTGTGACCGGTAAGGGGATCGCAACCCCTGGCTTGGGGTCGCCCGCACCACGCTCAGCCAGTGAGCGCACCAGCCATCCCTATATAGGATCTGAACCCGCAGCGGCAGCACTACTGCGCTCCCAGTGCCGCACTCTCCCGAGTGAGCCACAGGGTCGGCCCTTCCAGTGATCTTTGACTAGGTAAATGGCACCACCCAATTAAGTGTGATTCTGGATTCCCTTTCTTTCAACTCTTACATCCAGATAGTCACCATTTCTTTAATCCTTCCACTTGGCTCCATCCCATTACCACTAACTTAGTTCAGGCCACCATTCCTCTCTTCCCTCGATTACTTCAATGGCTCTCTCACCAGTCACTGTTTTAGTTCTTGCCTCACATTAAGTCATTCATCCCATTGCAGCCAGAGAAATGTTTCTAAATTGCAAATATGATCATATCACTCCAATCCTTAAAATTCTGCCATTTCTCCAGTGGTCTTTTTCATTTTTAAAAAAACTTCTGATTATGCAAATTTTCAAATATACATAAAAGTAAATATTACGATAAACCCCCCTATATTCATCACCCAGCTTCAGCAATTATAGATGCATTGCCAATCTTATTTCAGCTTGTCTCCTAACCCCCCAAGAATGTTTTAAAGAAAATCTCAAACATCATATCATTTTTTTCTATACATAGCTAAGTATGTATCTTTAACAGAAAAAAGCCTTTTTACTAATATAACATAATACCATCCTTATACCTTAAAAATGTAACAATTTCTTAACATTATTTTATTTTTTTTTTTTGTCTTTTTTCCGTGTCCGGCCACGGATCGCAACCCTCAGTGTTGCCCCCGTACCGGACCGGGGACCGGCGACGGGATCGCAAGCCTCGGCATTGCTCCCGCGCCTCGCTCAGCCAGTGAGCAGGAGCCGGTCTGTACGTCTGTACGTGGGATCCGAACCCTCGGACGGGAGCGCTGCCGCGCTTCCCAAGCGGGCGCACTATCCAGTGTGCCACCGGGCCGGCCCCTTAACATTATTTTAATACTCAAACTATGTTCAAAATTTTGTATATGTCTAAAATTAGAATCTGTGCTACATGCTGGATCTATAAGGGACATATTCAAAACAATCAGCAAAATTTAAAAGGGATCTGCGGATTAGATGGTAGTATTATATCAATGTTAATTTCCTGACTTTAATGATTATAATGTGATCATGTAGAAAAGTGTCCTTCTCATTAGGAAATTTCCACTGCAGCATTAAGAAGTAAGATGGTATTAAACATGCAATTAGCTCCCAAGACACTCAGGAAAAAAAAAAAAAAAAGAGAGAGATGATGGTAAGACAAATGTAGAATGTTGAACATTGAAAAATGTAGGTGAAGGATATATGAGAGTTCTTTGAATGATTTTTGCAACTTTTATGTAAGTTTGAAATTATTTTAAAGTCAAAATTTCAAAACAAAAAATAAAAAACTGCCAAACTGTTTTCTGAAGTGGTTGTACCATTTTATATTCCCACCAGTTTATAAGAATTCCAGTTATTCTACATCCTTTCCAATAATTGATATGGTCAGTCTTTTTAAACATTGTGATAGGTGTGTAGTAGTATCTCATTGTGTCTTAATTTGCATTTCCCTAATGACTAATAACGTTGAGCATATTTCATGGGCTTATTTGCCATTCACATATCTTCTATCTGTTCAAACTTTGGCCTATTTTTAGAATTAAGTTGTTTGTTTTATTATTGAGTTTTGAGAATTCTTTATGTATTCTGGATATAAGTTTTTTTTTTTTTTTTATCAGATATGTAATAGGCAAAGATTTCCCCCTACTCTGTGGCTTGGTTTTTCATTCTCTTAACAGTGTTTTTCAAAGAGCATCATTCTGACTTTTGAAGAAATTCAATTTATCAATTTTTTATTTTATGGATCATGTTTTGCTGTCATATTTCAAAAATCTTTGACTAACCCAAGATCACAAAGATTTTCTCCTAGAACTTTTATAGGTTTAAGTTTTACATTTAGGCCTATCATCTAGTTTTACTTAAAAAGTTACTACCTACCATATGATACAGCAATTTCACTCCTAGGTATTTACCCAAGAGAAATGAAAGCTTATGTCCATACAAAGACTTGTATGTGAATGTTCACAGCACCTTAATTTGTAGTATCTCCAGACTGGAAACAAACCAAATGCCCATCAACAGATGATGGACATGTTGAGGTATAAACAAATTGAGGTATATTAATTCAATAAATACTGTTCAGGAATAAAAAGAAATACACTATAGATAAAGCAATAACATGGATGAATTGCAAAATAATTATGCTGAATGAAAGAAGCCAGATATAAGAGTACATACTGTATGAGTATGATTTAATTTATATAAAATTCTAAGAAATACAAACTTAGAAAGAAAGTAAGAGGTTGCCTAGGGATAGAGAGGACATGGAAGAGCTGGAGGGAGGAATCCCAGAGGAGCAAGAACAAATTCCTGTAGGGATGTGTTAATTATCTTAACTGTGTGATAGTTTCACAGGTGTATACATATATCAAAATTTATCAAATTGTATGATTTAAATATATGCAATGTATTATATGCCTTAAGAAGCTTCTAAAAGAAAAAAGGCTATTGTTTTGTTTTATTTATAGTGGTTTGTCTGAATCAAAATCCAAACATAGTCCACACATTACATTTTGTTGCTGCATGTTCAGTAAAGGGTTAACTCAGCAGGCTTAGGACATATGTACTCTGTTTATTCCAAAGAAAAGGTTGGCTCTTGACTTGCTCCTGGGAGATAACTTCTAAGCCCTTGGAACATCCTTCCTGATAAGATTGTCTTTTTATACTCGGAGTTCACAGACAAACGTGTCAGGTCAACCCGAGATTTCCTTACATTCTAAGCCCTCCCTAAACCCTTAGATCAGTCCTCCAAGGAAGAGTCTCTATTTCTCCATGCCTTTCCTGCTCCCTCAAACTACATCTCCTGGTGTTGTTTGCCCTTGATTTCCCAAGGGAAAGCACCCAGATTTTGGTCACTGTCCACCAATTTTAAAACCACAATCCCTTTACCTTTCATTCCTGAAGGATGTTTTTGCTGAATATAAAATTCTGGGTCAAGAGTTCTTTTCTTTCAGCATTTGAAAAATGTTGTGCCTTGCCCGGCCCATGGCTCACTCAGGAGAGTGCGGTGCTGATAACACCAAGGCCACGGGTTCAGATCCCATATAGGGATGGCCGGTTATCTCACTGGGTGAGCGTGGTGCTGACAACACCAAGTCAAGGGTTAAGATCCCCTTACCGGTCATCTTTTAAAAAAAGAAAAGAAAAATGTTGTGCCATTTCTTTCTAACCCACGTGGTTTCAGTGAGAAATCTGCTGTCTTTCAGATTGTTTCTCCTACATAGGTAATGTGGCACCTCTTTTTGGCTACTTTCAGGATTTTTTTTTCCCCTGTGTCTTAGTTTTCAGAAGTGTCTTGGTGTGAATTTCTTTGAGTTTATCCTGTTTAGGGTTTGCTCAGCTTCTTGAACCTCTAGGTTTATGATTTTTTGTAAAATATAGGAAGTTTTCAGTCATTACTTCTTTGAATACTTTTTCAACCCTGCCCTCTTTCCTCTCTCCTTCTGGGAGGTAAAGTCACTTGTTCTTGTAGCACTCTGTGGCCTGGCAGCCAGGAGCAGGAGAGGCAAGGCTGTTCCTGCTGCTCAAGAACGTGTAAAATAAAAATTACTTAGTGACTTTTGCATCACTTTGTAAATGTTTGTGTGCACTTACATATTTACGTACCAAATGAGCCTTGCCCTTTAAATTTGGGAATAAGTTAAGTGTATATGTTCATTCCAAAGCTGTGACATTACTTCCAAGTCAGACTATGAATCATAGTATTTTAGAGTCATATCTTATCTTTCACTAAAGCAGATATTACTGTCTTGAATCACTTAATTCACCAGAATTCATCCTACATAACTTTCCGCTCTTTCAAAAAAAAAAGTCAAATTTACTCTTAGCAGACATATTTGTTATGATCAGGAATAGAAGAA